CAGCTTTTTTAATTAACAAAATGGCGGCATGTAGCTAAGATGGCTTGATCCAGCAGTCACAGTCAGGGGCGTATCTAAGCTCTGAGAGTTGGGTGGGCACTGGAAAAAATAATGCGGCGCGCGAAGCGCGCCGCGAAAATTTTTTGCGGTTAATTAATATTCATGATGGGCGTGGTCAATTAACACATCGATTATTTACATTAAAGAAGACAAAATAACAGTTAAGATAGCGTGATTCTTCTGTTTTGATCCTTGTTCACGAACTGTTCCAAGACATGATCAAATGGAATGTTTTTAGAGTGATCTCTTTCAATACAAAGGATACCTAGATCACTCAAACGTTGGTCTCCCATTGTAGATCTAATGTAGGTCTTTATTCGCTTGAGTGCAGAGAAAGACCTTTCACAACTAGCAGTTGAAACAGCTATGGTCATTGCGATCTTTACCAAGTTAGAGAGAGTTGGAAATGCATCTCGAAGTTGGTATAATCGAAGGAATACATCATTTGTTTTGGTAAAGTTCTCTTTGTCAATGAATAAGCGGCGTGCCACCTCTAGTTCACTCTCCAGAGTCTGTGAAGCAGTCAAGTTGTACACATCAGCTAGTGGTTTCAGTTCAGAAAATGAAAAGAACGATTTAGAATGAGGATGACAAGCCTGGATTCCTTTCATGATGCTAATATTCTTGTCATCAAACCTCTTTCTCAGTTCAACTAAGAAAGCATCAACTACAGGGAAAAAAAGCTCAACTTTAAGTTGACTACTGCAATCTGGTACACTTCTAGAACCAGATGACTCATACACTATAGAATCATCCAGCTGTCTTGGCGGTCTTCTCTTCCTTTGTGGATACAAAGACTTTCCAATTTCAATGTCATGTCGCTCACATATATCAGATACATACTTGAACAGCTTTTCCCACATCTGATCTGATCGAAAGGCCTCTAAACTACCCTCACAAGCAGTAACTAAGCTAGCAGCACATGCCAAATCAACATTTTGTGATTGGAGTTCATCAGAAATGCCCTTGGTGATTGATAAGATTTTATCAAAAACCACAAGTGTTGTGAGAAATGTAAATGATCTGATCTGCTGGTAAAGTCCCCTGGCTTCTACAGCTTTATTAGCATCAGATCCATGTGCTATGGCATCTAAAGAAGCAAGGATGCAATCATATCTGTAGCATACCACATTGACTGATGAAAATCGGCATGCCCAGCGTGTGTC